CCCCAAAACCCCAAAACCCCAAAACCCCGAAAATCTAGAATTACGAATTATTGCAGTCATTAAATTAAAAATAAATTGATGCTCTGATAAATAATGATAAAAATTTTCATATGAGATTCTAGCCTGTTTTCTTGCTGTCTTTTAATTACTTTACTTTAGGGGCTAAAACCTGGTCTATATATTAATTAGTTATTATATCTTTTCCAAATCCTCCAATTTTATGTTCAATCATCATCTCACAAAAGGCGTCAGGACTCATCTCATCAGGGTTTTCACTTTAAACTAACTCTAGAGTCTGATTAAAGAAATGAGCTATTTCTTTTTGTTAAAGAGTACTGTCAAAATGATGCATTAAAACTTCGAATTCTCTTAATTCGAGTACTCCATCTCCGTTTTCATCAAATTGATGGAAAAATTATATAAGCTTATCTTTTTCATGCAATTTTTTTCTTTCCCACATCTTAATACAGAGTTTTATAAAACTTGATTTTGTTGTTACAGTAAACTGAGAAACATCATTTAACTTTTATATATACTAGGAATCTCGAATCTTGTTCAGCAAGACCTTAGCAGTTATTAGATCTAAACAAATATTAAGAATAATCATTATTACTATTTTAGTTTGGACACAAGAATTTATTAATGATCGCTCCCTCTTCTTCCGATAAAAACACAAAGAATGTTTTATTCGCTTCATACAGCAGCTGATCAACAATAACGCTTTTATCATCTTCAGTTGAAGATTTAAAGAAATTTTCAATGGATATTTTAAGATCCTTTCCGCTTTTTTAAATTCGATGAACCAACCTCATCAATATGTAATCTAACCTAAATTTCTAAGCACTAGAACTATCAAATGAACTATCATTATGGATACTTATGCTTTAGCCATCCTCTCTCGATACAATTGATTATGGAAGTACCTTGCTTATAAACTCATCCAATATAACTGTATTATTCTTTTCTAAGCATTATATTAAATGATCAGTCAATGCAAAAACAGAGCATACTCCACCTTAGGCGATATTATTATTATTTTCATCTTTAAACTTGTCCTTTATTTTGTCAACTAGTTTGCTGACCCATATTGTTTATACCTCATTGAAGAATTTTCTTGATTTTATCATCATCCTTGCTTCATCATTTTTTAATGGATCATCAAATCCTAAAATTCTAATCAAAAGTGAGGCAAAGGTATTTTTCTTATCTTTAATCAAGTTTTTCAATCCCTAAAATAATAATTTAAATTTTCAGTAAAAATTACTAAAGAAATTGAGCCAAGGTTTTTCAAAGCGATTGTTTTAAGTCCGTAATGCATAATCAAATAATCAAAAGAAAACTTGGGGAAGGTCTCCTCTCTATCAGATTCTAGAGAATGATTTATAATTAAATTGGTACTTACTTATATCATATTTGTATTTTTCCTCCATTGCTATCTCCATAAGTTAGTATATGCTATTTTAGGGCATTGGAACTTTTTCATTCTTTCCTTTGCCGTATTTTTTCAAAGCTTTAAGAAGCACATTTTATTTTTATTTCTTAGGCTAGTTATCATTTCCATCCTTGTCATTATTAATGTTTTAAAGATAAGAATCATCAGTTTGAATCTCTTGCTCTAAAGTTATAATTGGCGGTTTTTTCAGAATTTAGGCATTACTATGTTCAGACTTGTTTTCTCCATGCGAGTCATCCTCATAATCATATTCAACATCATATTCTTCATCATAGTAGAGATCTAAATCTTAATTTTAGGATGGTCTTTTTGCCTTAAGTAAATCCATCATTCCTGCTTTCATTTTATTTGAGATTCTCTTCTTTTTAAGCACACTTTTATGCTTCATTTTTGTTTTGTAAATAGGTTCAGGAGATTCCTTCTAGATCATCTCAAGATTTTTCTTTTGAATCTATTTGAAGACACTGTTCATTATTTACTCAGAAATTATGGCTGCATTCTGCTGGCTTGCCCCTGCTGGCTAACCATCTTATGGCTTCATTAGATTTTAAAATTGCTAGACGAATTCTTTTTGCACTTAAACTATAATTCTATCTTTATACTATACATCAAGTAGATTCACTGGGTCGACTTGCTTTAAGGAATTTCTTCTGCCTAATCTTTTTGGAATCGATATTTTGGCTGGCTATTTTTTCCTTTATTTTTCATTCTCATGATGTATTTTTAAGTCCTTTAGAAAGCTAATTATTTGCTTGCTTGATTCTTCCTATAATTAGTTACATTTATTTGTAATTACTTTAACCTCTTATTGAGCCATGACCTGAGAAAACTCTTCATCCAGATTTCTCATCAAATTATTCATCTCTAAATTGTCAATAAAAACAAATTAATTACCCTTCAATCCCTATGGATCAGTTAGTTCACTTATTTCAGCTTCTCTTTATCTGAGTTACTCTTCAACTTCTCTCTTACTTTAATTGGCCCTCTCAATAGCAAGTTATAATTTTTTAATATCTTCTTAGTATTTAAGCTCTTTCATCTCAAATTCTTTAACAAACAAATTTTTTTATCTTCTAAAGACAAGCTCCTTTAACTTGATCACACCATCTAACTTCTAATACTTTTTATCTATTATCCTATCTGTGCAGGAATAAAAATGGTCTATGAGAAATATTAGACTGTTCCAAATTTCATTTAAAATCCTTAGAATCGGATAGTTATAGACATCATTTCCAAGTCTTTTTATTACAGTTCTATAAGTGGCTTGAGTATCTATTAGTATCTATACAACTTAGTCCTCCTCAATGTCCCAAACTTGTTTATTATTATGCTATATTTGTTTATGAAAGGGAATTATTACAATTAATTTTGAAAGAATTTGCTAATAGCAAAATTTGAGAGATTTATAAAGATCAATGTTTGATTCTATATTTCCTACAAGTTATTTAAGCTATTCTTCATCTAAAACTTAACTTTATTAATCTTCATCATCGCTGCTAATGAACAGATTTTTAAACTTTTTTCTGATAACATTAAGTGCTTCTAGAAGGAAATTATTAAACTATCATAAATTTATATATCTTTACCTCTATTTAAATGCAAGTCACTAATAATTTGCTTCACTTTATTTGATTCGTAGTATTTTAGAAGTAATGAGTTTTTCCTCTCTATTTTATCATCTTTCAAGTAATTCTACATTATTTCTTTGAATTACTAGGCCTGTTTTTCTTTTTTTTTGTCTTAATATTTTTCCTCTTATTTTATATCCTTAGATAAGTCAAAAGATTCCTTTTCTTGAAATTTCTACAAATGTGAAATGCAACTTAGGATTTAAGCTCAGTTTCACTTAGTCTTATTTGCAAATATTTTAGATGTGAAGAAATCAGTTGACTCACTATTTAACTGAAATCTATGTCGAGATTTTGATCCACTTTGATTATTGTTTGAAAGAGGACTTGTGATTTATGGCATTTCATAAATTTATTTTTTATCTGATATTTATTGAACACTTGCCTGAGATGTTTAGATAAGGGATTTATCCATAAGTTCCTTTATGTTTTTATCATAACTCGTGATCATCTTTCTTCGCTTATCTCCCTCTGGTTTTCTGGAGAAATTTTTATATGATATTACTCCATTAATTCTTATTTGAGATTAAGCTTCATTTGTTTTTTAGCTTAAATCTGCTTGTGATTGTCAGACGCTGATAGTTCCATTATTTTAAGACTCAAATTAAATAAACGAATTACTGTTTATATTCGAATTTCGTTATGGAGAGTTCATCTGGGAGAAAGCTTTTCTGTTTTGTTCGGGAATCTATTGTAGTATGTATTGATTTGAAATAGACAAATTTATATTTGGCTTTTACTAAATCAATGACGGCAGACCATCTAAGAGTTTTCCAATGTCATTTTTAGTCTTATTTAAGCTCTTTCTACCTCTAAAATCAGTACTGTTTATCTAGCTTAAATGAATGTTTAAATATTGATCTTGCATTAATAATTTAATTATTATTTCAAGAAAATTTTTATATCAATTTTCACAGATTATTAACAGATGGGGTTTTGGGGTTTTGGGGTTTTGGGG